CCTCGATAGAAGCCGGTCTGTTTCAAGTAAGTCATTTTAAACCTGCTACCCATGAACTTCATTTGATGTCCTCTAGTTCTTCTATTATGGGAACTAATAAGTAACTTTTCTTTATTCACCCTCTCCACACCACTCATGATTTTATAGACCTATATCATATCCCCCCTCCGTCTCCTCTTTTCTAAACTGAAAAGTCCCAGTCTCTTTAGCCTCTCCTCATATGGGACACGTTCCAGACCCCTAAGCATTCTAGTTGCCCTTTTCTGAACCCTTTCTAAGGCCAAAATATCTTTTTTGAGGTGAGGAGACCACATCTGTACACAGTATTCAAGATGTGGGCGTACCATAGTTTTATACAGGGGCAGTAAGATATTCTGGGTCTTATTTTCTATCCCTTTCTTAATAATTCCTAGCATTCTATTTGCTTTTTTGACTGCTGCTGCACACTGCGTGGAAGTTTTCAGAGAACTGTCCACGATAACTCCAAGATCTCTTTCCTGATTTGTCGTAGCCAAATTAGCCCCCATCATACATCGGGGGTGACCGCTGCCTGGTCCCAGACCTCTGGGAAACACCAGGTCTTCGGGCAGCTACCCCTCCCCCCCCGTTCAGAAGGATCATGTTCTTCCCCATGAGACTGTGACTTGTGCTCCTAATAAGAACAGCCATAGGGCCTAGACCTGTGGTCCTTCCAGCCAAGTATCCTGTCTTGTGATAGCAGACAATAGGAATGAAGGGAACAGGGCAGTTTTCAAGTGACCCATTCCAGTTCACCAGCCCCAAATTTGGTGACCAAAATTCTCTCCCGGCCCCATACCTAGCGATCAGTTTGATCCTGAACATCTCGCCGAGAGTTTTGGCAAGGACTTCTTTACAGCGACTCAGCTACCTCGACACCTGGGGTATGTCTAGACTACAGGCTTACGTCGACATAAGTTTTGTCGACAGAATCTGTTGACAAAACTTATGTTGACATAGAGCGTCTAGACTACATCCAGTTCTGTCGACAAAGCAAAGGACAGTGTAGACACAAAGGACAGTGTAGATGCAATAATGTCTTCTATTGACAGAACTCTTTCGACAAAAGGCGTTATTCCTCGTAGAATGAGGTTTACATACGTCGACAAAACTGCTGAGTTTTGTCGATGTTATGTCGACATAACTCAAAGGCAGTGTGGACGCAAGTATAGTTTTGTCGACAAAAGTCCACTTTTGTCGACAAAACCCTGTAGTCTAGACACACCCCTAGTGCCTCATAGCCTGCAGTTGGGGATCTTTGCAGATCAACAGCTGGGTAGCTTTGATGCTGCCAATATTCTAAATCCCAATTTATCTCCCACTTGATTTGGGCTGGTTAAAAACTCTCTGTGAAATCTTTTCTCTGAAGGAAATTTGGGATCTTAATTAAAACACAACGCCACACAAATTGTCAGCTTTCCAAAAAAGCTTTTGATTTTTTACTGGAAAACCAAAATTAAAAAAAAGTCTGAAAATTAGTATAGATTAAGCAGCTTTTCAGCTGAAGTATTTTTGTGTCATGCTGTTCCATTTATCCAACCTAGTTTTTTATCGATAATGATTTCCACTGCATTTTCAATAATGTTTTCATGGGAAAAAACCCACACGCACACCTTTGGAACAAAAATGGTTCCTCCTACTTCAATGAACCTAGTTTATTGTTTTTCTAAATCCTCTATGTATCAAAGGCCCAATAGCGAAAGAAGAGGTAGGAGAAATGGCTTTTACCCCAGGTGTTCTGTGCTTGGATTTTTGCCAGCTATTTCTAGGATGGAGGCAAGTAGTGTGTTTTTTAAAGGCTTTATTGATTGACCATTGTTTGTGCAGCTGGAAACACAAGACACTTGGCATCCCACAGAGCGGAGGCAGATTTAGCAATAATTCACAGTGGCAAGCAAAGATTCCTCCAAGAGAGAATTTGTCTTTGACCAATGAGCAAAAGCACTGTAGTGATTGATCTATGGTGTGGTCAAGTCAAAAAGGGCTAACTCAGGAACCAGTACTAACATTTTCAGACCACAAATAATGATATTTTCAAGCCAAGAGACAGCTCTGTAGTTTGCAGAATCCAACGGGTAGCTTTAACATAGAATGTAGATGGAGGTGTCTTAAGATATCGCCTTCTTGCTGGAGCGATCCACAAGGTGTTTGATCTCTTGTAGGATCTTGTCTTTGTTGTTCGACACATTCAGTCTGGCTGACTGGAGGACTTTGGTGATGTCTCCCATATGGTAGAGACAGCGAATGGGGGTGAATCTAATTCTCCATTCGGTCACATAGGCTGAAAGCAAAGAGTGAAAAGATGTGAAAACAAAGTAAGGATGAGGATGTTAGAGTTAGTAACAACATAGAGTTAGTAACAACTGGTGCTAATATTATGACTGCATTCTAGTGTTTGCAGGTAGTTGTGAGAGGGATATGTTGCTAGAAGAATCAAGTGAGGCTCATGTATGGGCAAAGGGATTTCACCAGTGCTCTACTCCCAACCCCAAAGCATCTGAATGTCTTGTCTGTGGTGATCAGCAGTGACATAGTTAATGTAGTTGTGTGAGCAGCCATCTGTAGGGTTCAGAGTCAACACCCACTGGCACTGAAATGGGCACTTTGCACTTCTCAAAGTGGTTAAATGAAGTTGCCTCCAGAGTCATGAGGGCATGTCTACACTAGGAAATTATTCATCTTAATAACTCCTGATTTTACAAAATCACACTAGCGTGTCCACACCATGGGGAAGCCTCAAAATTAGTCCGAAGCCAGCTCCGTTAATGTGGACATGCTTCCTTCACTTGGAGCCTCAAGAAGCACGGGGGACTAATCCGTTCAAATTACTCTGGGGAGACGTTTTTTTGAAATAGCTGCACCAGAACGTCCACACCAATGCTATTTCCAAATAATTATAATTAGCATTATTCCCCAAGGAATTCGAAGGAGGGAATTATAATTAGCATTATTCCCCAAGGAGTTCGAAGGAGGGCAGATTTCGAAATAAGCAGCTTGTTATTTCAAAATAACGGTCTTTCTGGTATGGACGCTCCACTTATACATTCGACCTAAGGGGGGTTATGTTGAAATAAAGCACAGGTGTCGACCAGGGCTAAGCAAGTTTCCTTTAATTCTATCAGATTTATTCTCCTGTTTTCTCCTTTTCCTACACCTCCCTCTTTTGCTCTGGTGTCTCCTTACTTTTCTCTGTACTGTCACATACTCTCCGGCTACGTCTACACTGGCACCCTTTTCCGGAAATGCTTAAAACGGAACAGTTTTCCATTATAAGTATTTCCGGAAAAAGCACGTCTACATTGGCAGGATGCTTTTCTGGAAACGCACTTTTTCCGGAAAAGCGTCCACGCCAATGTAGACGCACTTTTCCGCAAAAAAGCCCCAATTTTCATTTTCGCGATCGGGGCTTTTTTGCGGAAAAGAAATCTGTGCTGTCTACACTGGCCCTTTTCCGGAACAGTTTTCCGGAAAAGGACTTTTGCCCGAATGGGAACAGTATAGTTTTTCTGGAAAAGCACTGATGATTTTACAGTAGATCGTCAGTGCTTTTCCGGAAATTCAAGAGGCCAGTGTAGACAGATGGCAAGTTATTCCGGAAAAGCGGCTGATTTTCCAGAATAAGTGGCCAGTGTAGACACAGCCAACATGTTTGTGAAAAACAAGAAGCTTCTGCTGTCATGTGTACTGGGGTAAATTAACCTAGAACGCAACTTATCCTGAAGTTTCAGTGGAAACAATAGCATTTGCGTGCTTAACTCCATGATACTCTTTGTAAAATATTAACCCTAGGTTCTTACTGGATTCCAATCTAAAGCTGTGCCTGGCATTCAGAGTGGATCAAAGCTCAAAAGCAACAGAATTTGTGCAGAACATACATGAGTCTGAGATGGTGTCCGGTACAAGCCTGGACACCTGAAGGAAAGTTAAAGGTTGACCAACTCTAACTTTTCTCTGCATTCTTCTCTGAATTAGTCGTTCGTTATGTGCCCCTCTCCTTTCTGACTCTAGTCGATGAAATTTACATAAATTTGGCATCTGGTATTGGCCACTGTTGGCAGACACTGGGCTAGAAGGACCTTTGATGTGACTCAGAATGACTGCTCCTATTTCTTCCTTTGACTTCACTTGTGGAACACAGAGAAGATTTTGCCCCTGTCTTGACGGGTGTTCAAGTAACAAGATACCTGATTTTTGAGCTGAGGAAGTCATTTAAATATTGACCAATACAAAAATCATAATAGCAAAAATAAATAACAGGTGGAACTCACCAAGCATGTTATTTAAGCCAAAAGCTTGATGGTATTCAAAGCACACAGACATTTTTAAGGGTATTTTGGAGATTCACTTTAAAATTGTAAGAAGGGGAGGAAGAACACCTCTTCCGAAATAGCTATTTTGAAATAACGGCAGTGTGGTTCTCCACTGCTGCTATTTCAAAATAGCACCTTCCCAGGACCATTTATAGTAATTACTCCCCAGTGCTTCCTGGGGCTCTAAATCGAATTAGTATGTCCACATGAGGGACTAATGTGGACTAATTTTGAGGCTTCTCTGTAGTGTAGACATGCTATTTCAAAATAAGCTATTTCAGAGCATTTCTTCCAGAATAGCTTATTCCAGAATAAGCCTGCAGTGTAGATGTACCCTAGATGCTCTCTAGCAACGGGGAAAAGACTAGATCAATCTGCTACTTTATCCCAAGCCCTTCATCCCTTTGCAACCTTACCCCTGCGCAAACCAGACTCAGCTGCATTTAAGTCACCATGCAAGTCTAACGAGAAACAGGTCAGGCGCCTTTAAGAAAGTTGGCGTGACATGAAAGTTACCGGGGCAATTCACTCTGTTGAAAAGTGGGAAGTGCATGACGGTGGGTGCGCCCTCTCCTCTGAAGATGTAGCAGTCAGAGGGGTTGTCTGGGTCCTTCAGCAAACTCTCGTCTATTTCCGGAAATGGGATGCAGTTTTCTTTACAGTATTTGGCTGTTTGCTTGATTGCCTGTAGGTGAGGGAGCCATGAATATTTTATTTAAAGAACTGCTCAGAACACAAACATCAAACTTTTTCTCTGAGGCCTCTACTAATTGACTCAGGTTCTGTCTAGACTGCCGAGAAAAGTAGGAAAAAGATATGCAAATTGCAAACTGCAATTTGCATATCTTTTCCTGCTTTTTTTCCAAAAGAGACTTTTCCAAAATTTGGCCCATCTAAATGGGGCCAGATTTAAGAACAATTCCTCTTTTGGAATATCCCTTCTTCCTCTCACTGAGAGGAATACAGGGATGCCCTTCGTGAGGGCAAGTCATGTCTGACCAATCTGATTAGCTTCTATGATGAAGTAACTGGCTCTGTGGACATGGGAAAGTCAGTGGATGTCATATACTTTGACTTTAGCAAAGCTTTTGATACGGTCTCCCACAATATTCTCGCCAGCAAGTTAAAGGAATATGGATTGGATAAATGGACTGAAAGATGGATAGAAAGCTGGCTAGACTGTCGGGCCCAACAGGTAGTGATCAACAGCTCAATGACAGTTTGGCAGTCGGTTTCTAGCGGAGTGCCCCAAGAATCAGTTCTAGGACCGGTTTTGTTCAACATCTTTATTAATGACCTTGAGGAGGGGATGGATTGCACCCTCAGCAAGTCTGCAGATGACACTAAGCTAGGGGGAGAGGTAGATACGCTGGTGGGCAGGGATAGGGTCCAGAGTGACCTGGACAGATTAGAGGATTAGGCCAAAAGAAATTGGATGAGGTTCAACAAGGACAAGTGCGGAGTCCTGCACTTGGGACGGAAGAATCCCAAGCATTGGTACAGGCTGGGGACTGAATGGATAGGTGGCAATTCAGCAGAAAAGGATCTAGGGATTACATTGAATGAGAAGCTTGATATGAGTCAACAATGTGCTCTTATAGCCAAGAAGGCGAATGGCATATTAGGTTGCATTAGGAGGAACATTGCCAACAGACCCAGAGAAGTCATTATTCCCCTTTATTCAGAACTGGTGAGGCCACAGCTGTAGTATTGCATCCAAATCTGGGATCCCCCCCTCCCCCACTAGTCAGCAGAGGGCGAACAAAATGATTAGGGGGCTGGAGCACATGAGGTATAAGGAGAGGCTGAGGGATTTTGTTTGTTTAGTCTGCAGAAGAGAAAAGCCTAGGAGAAAGCCGGCAGTGGAAACCAGACCCTCTGCTTAAAAATTGGAAAATTGTTTATGGCTGTCTACAGAGAGACCCCAAGGCTGGGATTTAAGAAAGCTAATAGGAGCATGAATTCACCTCCCTGGAAAAGTCAATATCAGATGGGCACTTATGACATTTTCCTTAAAAATATTAGCCTACAGCCACAGCATGGATCAAATATGGCACACGGACCCTAAGACCCCAGCACAAAAGTGACAGTTAGAGTTAGTTACCCCGACATGAAGAAGAGCTCTGTGTAAGCTCAAAGCTTGTCTCTCCCACCAACACTAGTTGGTCTAGGAGAAGACATCACCACACACATCTTGGCTCCTTGATGGGCCAGTCTTTACCTCAGGGCTCATCACCTCAAAACTCAAAAGCACTGAAGGTTCATTGCTCAGATAAGGTGTAATACAGATTTCCTTCGGTGTGGTCACGATGAGGAGGATTTTCTAAGACATACATGAGAATTTGCTGCCCAACTCCCTGGGGTTGCAGCACCATGTGGTTGAAAATCTCCTTCAGACCCATTCAACCCTGGGACACCTCACATAATTTGGTATTGACTTCAGTGTGGTGTCCAACTTCCTCCTTGGATGGTGGCACTTGTTCTACTGAACAGTCCTACAGCAGGTTTTGGACTCCTCTCTTGGGGCCGTGGCAATGTATTTCCATGGGCCTGACTCCTGAGTTGAGCAATGGATGTGGAACAGGGACAGAAGTTACCATAAATGGTTCAAAAGGGCCATAGTCGAAGGAGAGGATCAGTTTCACTTTTCTTTGTGGGCGGAGGACCAGGGGGAATGCGCAGTTGATGCCAATGCCCGCGTCAACCAAGGAGACGACTTTCTCCTTTGTCAGCACCGGGGCATCCAGAGCAGCTAAAGGAAAGGAGCCAAAACCAGAGTTTTAATACTAAGGGATTAGAAGAGGCAAATGTCCAGTTGCATATGGACAGGACTAAGCACTATTATTTAGTACCATGGTGATTGCTAAATGAACTGTATCCATCATACAGTATAGACACTCCTTCTCCATCCCACCCTCTGCTGCCCCCTAGTGCCCATCATACAGTATAGACACTCCTTCTCCATCCACCCTCTGCTACCCTAGTGCCCATTATACAGTATAGACACTCCTTCTCCACCCACCCTCTGCTGCCCTATTGCCCATCATACAGTATAGACACTCCTTCTCCATCCACCCTCTGCTGCCCTAGTGCCCATTATACAGTATAGACACTCCTTCCCCACCCACCCTCTGCTGCCCTACTGCCCATCATACAGTATAGACACTCCTTCTCCATCCACCCTCTGCTGCCCTACTGCCCATCATACAGTATAGACACTCCTTCTCCATCCACCCTCTGCTGCCCCCTAGTGCCCATTATACAGTATAGACACTCCTTCTCCATCCCACCCTCTGCTGCCCCCTAGTGCCCATTATACAGTATAGACACTCCTTCTCCATCCACCCTCTGCTGCCCCCTAGTGCCCATGATACAGTATAGACACACCTTCCCCAGCCCACCATTAAAATTCTTAAAATTATTGGCATCATTCAGCAGTGAAAATGTAAATTTATAAAACTCCTAAACATGCTACCAGTAAAGACTGGAATAGTACAAATAAGAAGTCTGTCCTCATTTTTAACATGATTGTTTCCCACCATAAAAATAAGATGTAGAAAGGCAATCTGTTCCCATAGTTTTTTGAGTGATATATTTGAGGTTGGATCAGGCCCCTAAGTAAAGGAGTCATCCACCCCACAGAGTCAGGAAGTGGTGTTTTACTTACAGCATTTGTAAAGAAAGTTGTTATTCGTTCCCCATTTCCAGGTCAAGAGACCCTGAGTAGTTTTCTGCCACATTCTAGCGAAATCCACCACGGAGCCTATCAAAGGACACAGAACAGACTCCAGAGATCAGATCCAAATATTTAAATATAATCAGGAACTTCTGTACATCAGTGGAGGCCCTCTTATGTCTGGTGTGCTAGTGCAAACAGAGACCTGTGGTGGAAAATGATAGTATCGCTTGTATCTAAGGCTACGTCTGGACTGCAGACTTCTTTTGGAAGATGCTTTTCCAGAAGAGATCTTCCAGAAAAGCTTACTTCACAAGAGAGCATCCACATAGCAACAGCGGAACGAAAAAGTGATGTGTTTTTTTGAAAGAGAGCAGTCACATTGATTGGACGCTATCTTGCATTTAAGTTGTGATTACTGTGGACAGAGAGGCCGCCAGGGCATCTGTGTTATTTCCTGAAGGCCTATTCTTTCAAAAAACCAATTTCGCATCCACACACGCCTTTTTCTGAAAAAGCTTGTAGAATGAGGTTTAATACCGTCAGAAAACCCTCTCCATTCTTCCGACTTTCTGTCAAAAGAACTAAGTATTGTTTTCCCGTTACAACGGACGTTTTTCTGGAAAAACTCTGCAATGTAGACATACCCGGGAAGTAAAAACCCTGCAAAGCTGTGGGGACGGTAAAGGGCATTGTTTACTGAGACAGACACTGATGTATTCCCAGAGTCCTGGATTCCCTTGGGTAAAGAGCCACATGCTCTTGTCCATCTTGAGATGTGTCAGATGTTCTACCTCCCTTCCTACCATCCATGGTGACAACCCCGAGAAGATCTGCCACAGAGAAAGTGTTTCCACCCAGGGACCATACAAGGGCCAAGAGTGGGTGGGGTGTGTGAGTCTGTGACATCCACCATTTGAGTTATGTGGCTCAGTGCATTTATCTGCTTGACTTGAGCTACTCAACTAATTGTGTCTGAACAAACAATTCATTTTAAAAATCCCCAAATAATTTTTTTTTTACATTTTTCAGCCAACAGAAAATGTAACCCCCTCCCCTTTGTCATAGAATCACAGAACCCTAGAGCTGGAAGAGACCTCAGAAGGTCATCAAGTCCAGCCCCCTGCTCTAGGCAGGACCAATCCCAACTAAATCAACCCGGCCAGGCCTTTGTCAAGCCGAGACTTAAACACCTCTAGGGATGGAGACTCCACTACTTCCCTAGGTAACCCATTCCAGTGCTTCACCACTCTCCTAGTGAAATAGTTTTTCCTAATATCCAACCTGGACCTCTCCCACCACAACTTGAGCCCATTGCTCCTTGTTCTGCCATCTGTCACTACTGAGAACAGCCTCTCTCCATCCTCTTTGGAACCTCCTTTCAGGAAGTTGAAGGCTTCCTTTTTTGTAGGATTTAATGTTTGGTTTGACACACAAGGAAATATTTCTTTTCTTCGTGAGTTTTGAAAAGGGGGTTTCTAAGTGAAATTGAAACACATTTCTAAAAAATATAAAGCAAAAAATATCAAAACATTTCACTTTGAAAATTTCAGTATGATATATTTTGGGTTTTTTTCCCCTTGATTATCTTTTGTTGTCATGTAAACCAGTGTTGCTCAACCAGTGGTACCCTTTGGGTACTTGAGAGAAGTCTGGGGAGTACTTCAACAGAACTGAAATTTGGAGAAAAATAAATTTGTCTTGTAAGTTTTCCAGCACTTTATTATTTTTGTACTGTTTACACCCACAAATTTCATCGTTCGCTGGCTATGATTAAGTTGTTTAAACAAATGTGTTGCAATGGAAGAAAACAATTGTGTGTCTGAAAACCATAGGTACTCGGGGTCCTTCTAATTTTATTTTTTTAAAGGGGGGTACTTATAATTTATTTTGAAAAAGGGGTACTTTATACAAAAAAGGTTGAGAAACACTGATATAAACAGTTGAGCACATTCAGCAGAAATTCCTGAAATTTGTGTTGTTGACCCAAATCTGCATTTTTTCAGAAGAAAAAATGATGGAGCTGAAAATGTTCAACCCTTTCTAGTATTGAGTTTCCTATGCTGGAATTAGTTCAAACTGAAAAACAGAACCTTGCGTTGTTATTAGTAATTATGAGAGCAGGTGCAAATTTTGCTCATCATCCCACCCAGCCCATTCTGCACCTGCTGGAATTCCTGAGAAGTGATTAAAATGGAAGCTTCTGGCTTAGAAAACAGGACCCTTGACCTGTGCAAAAAATCAACTGTGTTAACTTAGAGGCAGAAGTTGGCTCCAAAACACAGCTTGGCAAATGTTCTACAGCAGAGACGTTTTTTCCTCACCATGAGAAATGCAATTTTCATGGCCTCAAATTCAGGTCACATTGGACACATCGTTTTACTTATGGGGAAAAAAATGTGAAGGGTTGAAACATTGTATTTTGTCCCTTTCAGGTTTGTGGCTTGTCTGTAAAAAAATCAAATTCTTTCATTCTGACTCCTAAATCTAATAGGGTATGTCTACACTACCCTCCTATTTTGAAATAGGAGGGTAATGTAGGCATACCGCAATTGCAAATGAAGCCCGGGATTTGAATATCCTGGGCTTCATTTGCATAAGCTGGGCGCCGCCATTTTTAAATCCCCGCTCGTTCGAACCCCGTGCCGCGTGTAGCCGCGCGGCACGAACTAGGTAGTTCGAACTAGGCTTCCTAGTTCGAACTACCGTTACTCCTCATTCCACGAGGAGTAATGGTAGTTCAAACTAGGAAGCCTAGTTCGAACTACCTAGTTCATGCCGCGTGTAGCCGCGCAGCACGGGGTTCGAACGAGCGGGGATTTAAAAATGGCGGCACCCCGCTTATGCAAATGAAGCCCGGGAAATTCAAATCCTGGGCTTCATTTGCAATTGCAGTATGCCTACATTACCCCGCTAGTTCAAACTAGTGGGGTAGTGTAGATATACCCATAGAGAGTCAGAATAGTAATTCTGAACCAGCTCACAAAAACACCCAAAATGTCCACATTCAAAATAAGCCCCTCCCTCAAAACAACCATTCCGAGTCTCTTTAAACAGTTTGGGCAACACAAAATTGGGTTTAAGATGCCTCATGGGTTTTGACTATACCACTTGGCACCTAAATACCTTTACGACTCTGGTGCTATGTGACTTAGGAGTAAAGTCCCACCACTAGTCAACTGGACTTATTCTCTGTCCTCCTTTTCATGCCTATTGAAAACCCCACCGCCTATCTCTCAGGGGGCCTCTCATCTACATCTGGAAGGCAGGAGGAATCCCAACGCCCTCACTGAAATGCACTTACAAAATGACATTTATCGATATTGGTGAAGGCCAAGAGGGCATGTTGGAAAAGGGCATGTTGGAAAACCCTACACAGAGGTAGGGATACACCACAACAGAAAGGACATGAGAATTATTATCTGTGAGGCAGGGAGAGCAAGAGCAGATGGATTTGCTTCATTCAGAAATACATTTGCCCTCCACCTCTTCTTACAAAGACACTGATTGGGCCTTTTGAAAGCAGTTCACAAGAGGCTATTGAAGCCCAGTGCATAGGGACGAAAATGACTTACCTATGCCGCTTTTAATGTTTCCAGCAATTGATTTCTTCTTAGTTTCTGAAAAAAATATACTTGGGTTAGTCATCACCACACGTGCTTATTGACCATCATACAATCACCTTGACAGAACGGTCAGGCTAGGATGTTTAAGGCCAAATTAATATTCCCTGGAGGTTGTAAATTATCACGAGAAAGAAAAAAAAAAGTGGTAGAAATGTAAGATCTAATATATAGTATCTTCGATTCCTTTACCAGGCCATGTCAATATGATGACACTTTCTCCTTTACAATACGTCCAAAATGTGTCCTGTCTAAATGTACGCTTGGGCTAAAGACCTTTTCCCAGGCTGCCCACCATCTCTCGTCACTTGTAACCACCACCATGCAGATTGGAACCTGGGACTTCTGGAGCTTAGTATAGGAGCCTTCGGAACAGCAGTTCTTAAAGTGTGGTCCAGTGTGCCACAAGGCAATTGGAGGTGTGTGGCAGAGAACAGAGTTCAAAATGGCTGCCCTTAAAAGGGCAAACTGATTTTTTTTTCTTAACAACTTCTTTTCCCTGTCCTTTTTTTTGTTTGTTTGTTTTGCAATTTTTCCCTGTGGTTTTATTTTTACTCAACAACTTTCCCCTGGGGGCTTTTTTTTTTCCTGGTCAACAACTTTTTCCTTGGGAATGGCTGCCCTTAAAGGGGCAAGCCTCCTTTTTTTTTTTTTTTTTTGCTTAACAAAAAAACAAACAAACAAAAAAACCCCTTGGCATTCCCCATAAAAAAATTATTGCTTGGTGTTCCTTGGTCTTAAAAAGTTTAAGAAACACTGCTCTACAGTCTGAGCTGTATAAAGCCAGCTGGCTCTCGATTTAGGCTGTAGAGTTCTCTCGCTCTTATCTATTGCTGTAAGTGTTCTAAGTGCCACTCCGTGGGACTGTGAATCCCACCGGGGGTACGTCTACACGGCAACGTTATTTTGAAATAACTTAGTCTGCTTCTACACAGCAGGCAGTTATTTTGAAATAATGTTGAAATACTGTCAAGCTGGAAGATTGCTTACTCCGACTCCTGTAACCTTCATTGTACAAGGAGTAAGGTAAGTCAGAAGAAGAGTGCTCTTTTTCAAATTAAGTGCCATGTATACACTCCTAATTTCGAAATAAGCTATGCAATTGTTGTAGACCAATTTGCATCGCTTATTTCGAGGTAAGCCTTGCTGGGTAGTTGCACCTCAGGTGTGTGGGGTACACCAAGAGAATCCATCCCACCCCTACTACACTCCAGTCTTTCCACATTTCAGCTACTAAACGGACTTTCCTTTGCTTGTGGTTCTGATTAGTAAGTTCCTTCCTTGATGCTCTCTTTTGCAGCCCTGTTGCATATTACACAGAATTTAAAATTCTCTTCTTCCTTATCAGTGCTCCTCAATTTCATTCTTCGCTACTCAGACAGGATTATGGAATCCAGTGACAGAAATCGCACTTGGGGCATGACTGAAATAGCACAACGATACCACAAACGCTTCCACTCCAAACAAATGTGATGCAACTGCACTCAACTGCTTGAATTTCCAAGGCGCCTAAGGGAGTTAGGCTTATTGAAACTCAGTGAGATGTGGGTATGTAATTCTGACACAATCATTTAAAATTCTAGTCACTGGGGCTACGTCTAGATCGCATCCCTCGGTCGACAGAGGGATGCAAATCAAGCACATCAAAATTGCTAATGAAGCAGGGATTTAAATATCCCGTGCTTCATTAGCATAAATATGGCCACCACTATTTTTTTTAAATGGAGTTTTTTTGAAAAAAAATGGCAGTCTAGATGCGGATTTGTCAAAAATAAACCCTTTTTCGACAGATCCCGTATTCCTCAAAAAATGAGGTTTACAGGATCTGTTGAAAAGGATTTATTTTCGACAGATCCATGTCTAGACTGCCTTTTTTTAAAAAAAAAAACAGTTTCAGAAAAAAAGTAGAAGCCATGTTTATGCTAATGAAGCACGGGATATTTAAATCCCTGCTTCATTAGCAATTTCGATGTGCTTAATCTACATCTCTTTGTTGATAGAGAGGTGTAGTCTAGACACACCCTGTGAACCATATTCACTAGAGTTTCTTCTGGACAGAGGCAAGCTGATGGGACAAGAAGGGTTTACCTTTGGTTCACTACAGCCAACTTGTGCTCATGGAAAACTCTTTGGAAAGAACTTGTGAAAATCACACTCACCAGATTGAGGAACATTCCCGGACTGCTTGTCAGAGCTTTCTGGGGCTGGTGGATCTGGAAAAAAGGAAATACAGTGACCTCTGGCTCTGGCAAATGAAGCTCTCATTTCTGTTTCAGGAGTCTCGATGTTTATTTGCTTTGATCTCCTCTAACAGTCTGCATCTACTGGGAAGCCAAGCCAGGACTAAATTTACCTTGGCAGGTGTTTCTTGATCAAGTTTATAGGCTACCGGGCTCGTGGGGTGTGTCTACACAGAACCATTATTTCGAGATAGCTAGTGTTATTTCGCAATAACAATGCAAGTGTTGACACGGCCATTCCATTATTCTGAAATAATTTCATTCTAATGGACGGCTTGTTCTGAAATCTGTAAACTTCATTCCAGATGAAATAACACTTCTTCCAAAATACCTATTTCGAAATAAGGCTTGTGTAGATGCTCCACTGTGGCTATTTTGAAATAGCCCCTCCCCAGGGCCTCCTGGGGCTCTAAATTGAGGTGGTGAGTCTACATTATGGGAGCCTGTCTCAGACTAATTTTGAGGCTTCCCTGCAGTGTAGACTCTCAATTTTGAAAGAAGCTATTTCAGAATAACTATTCAGGAATAGCTTATTTTGAAATAAGCGTGCCGTGTAGACATACCCTAAGGGAGGCATGAGATCTATTTATTTCATCAGTCATGCTGCAGAAAGCCAGCCTAGAGGAAGGTGGCTTTTGCCTCAGAGAGAAGTCTGCTTTTTCCTTCTCTGTTTTTTGTTTCCTTTGTGCTAGGATTCTGCATCAATTTAAACAAAAATAGAGTAATATGACATTCCAATCTTCTTGCATGAGTATTTCATGTGGTTTTAACTTCTTGGTTTCAATGCATTGAGAACAATTGGTGCAGGAATAGAGACACCTACCTGGTGAAGATCCTTCTGGCTCACCCTGAAATGTGCCTTCCATGTCATCTGGAAATATCATAAGAACATCTGGTCATGTCACAAAGTCACAGAAAACAACACAAACTTCCAAGGGTGGTCTAAACTTAGGTCAACTAAGCTAGTTCACCATATTTCAATTTAGCAAATGCTGGCCTAAGCCCTATCAAAGACAATTTTCTACGCCTATGGTTGTCTTCTGTGTTGTCTAGTAATATGGCCACATCCACACTAGGAATGATCAAACGTTTTCTTCAAAAAAATATTTTTCAGCTACAATGTTGGGTCATGGAGAGTTTTGGTTTTAGAAATATTATGATAGAAATAAAAAAAATCATGGGAAACAGAAATATCATAATTTTTAAAATACCGTCTTTTAGAGTATATAACCCGCAGGTTATACACATTATTACAAAGCCCGCCCACCCCTGCTGGGTATACATGTCCGCGGGGTATACAAGTTTATTTTTACTGGCCTGCACTACGCTCTCTGTTCTCCCCTCCCGGAGGAGGTTGGGTTGCGCCTGGCTGCGGTTGCGTGGAGCCTGGGCGTGAGTGCGTCTTCCCTCCTGCATGCCGGCCAGCTCACCTGTACTGTACTCTATGTTCCCCCCCGCTGGCAGCAGATATGTACAATTACCTTAAAGTAGCATATATAACCTGTGTTATACATGTTATACATGTCCGTAGGTTATCTAAAACTTTTTTTACACATTCAACAAAAAACGTGGGTTATGCACGGGTGCGGGTTATACACAAGTGCGGGTTATATATGCTAATTTACGGTAATTATGTTTACTAAAAAAGCTATTTTATCACATAAACACCATAGTTTAGGTTTGGTTTGGTTTGGTTTTCCTTTTTTTTCCCTCCACTCAAGCGCATTTAAAGAAGTGGGTTTTGCTCATGACACTATAAAATTCAAAATAACAGGCTTCTTACTCCAACTCCTGTAACTCTCATTGTACGAGGAGTAAGGGAAGTCGGGAGAAGAGTGCTCTATTTTGAAATAACTGCTGTGTAGACAGCGCCAAAAGTCAAAATACGTTATTTCGACTTAAGTTACACAATTAGCATAGCTCACGTTGCATAGCTTATTTTGATTTTAGCCTTGCTATATAGACCAAAGGACTATTCAATGTTTTTAAAGTTACAGACTAACACAGCTAACTCCTCGAAGACTTTTTTTATTGGCACCATAATGAATTCCATAAATAAAAACATCTAGGTTTACAATATGGTTTCTTCTTGGGCCATCATTTGTTAGAGAATGCGAGTGCAAGTATTTATTGCAATGGACAACTAATACAATACAATTGGCCCAATTTGGGTAAAAATTAGAAGAGATGGTACTTTTGTAAAGAGATTTACAAATTTCCAGGAATATATCAGAATACTGAAATATTTGACTGGCTATCATCTGATATGATAGGGCTAGCATATCTTTGATCTGAAGACAATCACTGGCCTCTTCCATGCCAATAGCTCAGCCCCAAGTGAAGTCATAGAAATCACAGAATACTAGAACTGGAAGGGACGTCAAGAGTTCAAGTCCAGTCTTGAACTGGAAGGGACCTCAAGAGTTCAAGTCCAGTCTCCTGTCCTCCCGGCAAGACCAAGCACTGTCTAGATTATCCCTGATATCCAATCTGCTCATAAATATAGATTATCCCTGATATCCAATCTGCTCGTAAATATGAGCATTGGCCTGCTAAACCCAGGGTTGTGAGCTCAATCCTTGTGGAGGCCATTTAGGGATTTGAGGCAAAAATTTGTCAGGGATGGTACTTGGTCCTGCTGTGAAGGCAGGGGACAGGACTCGATGACCTTTCAAGGTCCCTTCCAGTTCTAGGAGAGAGGCAATCTCCATTAATTTAATTTATTAAATATCTCCACACATCCTTCGGGCTCATTAGAAGACAGCCAGAAACCAGGCTGGGTGCGAAATGGTTTTCACATTCCACAAGAATTTGGGAGATTTCCACATTTGTCTGTCTCAAATGGATTCAATTCACCCAAATCAGAAGAGGCGTTGGGAGTTGACAGTCCTCACCCTAAAACTTATTTCAGACAAATGGAAATGTCCTTTTTTTCAAAAATTTGAACTTGAAACCTTTTCCTTGTTAGGAATTAAGCTAATTTTCACAATGAGAAGTTATTTTCAACTGAAACAATGACGTATTGCAAATTGGTCAAAACCGGGTTTTTCATCAATATTGAAACTATTTTTTCCTATTTTTAAATGTAGGTTGTTAATAAAAATGAACACTTGCCAATTAACAGTTTGGGCGGAGGGGGAGAGGGGAAGGGAGACATTTTATGATGAGCTAGCAGATATTCCCAACACTGCTTAGCCCCTCAACTGTAATAATATTTAGTTTTGGGTGTAAATTAAAATGATAATATACATGCTACAGTAAACCACTGTCTAGGGCAGGGAATTCATTTTGGGAGGGTCGCAAGGGAAAAGTTGGGGATGCAGGACACAGTAGAGGGAGCTGGAAGATGTGGGGAGCTCAGGGCAGTGGGTGGCAGATTAGGCTAGGGGACTTGGAGCATAGGGCTGGGAGGTGTGGAGGGCTAAGGGAAGGGAGTAGGAGTGCAGGAGTCAGGACAGAGGTTGGGAGGCACAGGAAGGGGACTCAGGGCAGAGGGCTGGCAGGCATAGGGGTCTGAGAAGAGGGCTGGGTGTGTGTGGGGCTCTGGGCAAGGGACTGGAAGGTTTGGGGGGCTGAGGAAATAGGGGGGATGCAGGAGTCAGGGCAGGGGGCTCAGAGAGGGGGTTGAGAGGTGTGACAAGCTGAGCTTAGGATGAGGTTTCAGGAGTCAGAACCCCCCTGTTCAGAGCAGGGGGATGGGAGGCCCGGGGGCCCCTTGATTGGCTAATGACTCAGGACGAAACAGGCAGCTCCACGTATCTACAAACCATCCTCAGGTTCCATGGTAGGTGTTGGAAACCCCTCAACATGTCCTTCCGGACAACCTGAAAATGCCAAAAGGAATATCAGTCATTTCACAGAGCCATGGGTCATCATATCACCAACCTGGGTTCAACATTCATGTGCCAAAGACCAAGGTCAAGTCAATAGTTTCAAGCTTCACAAGGAATAAAACTGGTAGAAATTTGAGGAAATCCATTTATTTAACGGAAAGTATTGTTCCACTGAAACATTCATCCCAATGAAAATTCGTACATAGTAGTGACATGTTGGGGGAGAGGTTCATTTTTCCAAATTTTTGAGGGATCCATAGAACATGGAAACTGATTTTTCCAGTAAATTGAGTTTGGTTTTGATAAAACCAATCATGTTTTGAGGGATCCATAGAACATGGAAACTGATTTTTTCCAGTAAATTGATTTTGTTTTTGATAAAACCAATCCTTTTTTTAATTCAGATAATAGTAGAGACATATTTTTTATTTCTGGTGTTTCAATCCACATCCCACATTTTTCCCCCCTCAAAAAAAAGATTTTCCCTGAGGGACTGAGGTAGACCATGGACCTTTTCAGACATCAGCACGATCCCAATAGCTCTCGCCTTATCGCCTAGGTACATGTGATCAATATTTCCACCTGTGTCATTGGAGTGGCCGTGACCTGTAAAGACTTACTTCCTTGATCTGCCGCGAACGGTGAGCTTGAGTCTTTTTTCCCCTTAAAGAAGCCAAACAATATATCTGGGGAGAAGGAGGGAATAAAACAACAATTAGGAGAACCAATCATTTCACAATACTTTGACAATAATTCAGTCCTTTAGGTGCTGTAGGTGACAGGATGGAGACAAAGTATATTGATGAAGTTAGAGCCCTCCCATTTCGGTCTGATCCCCAACATTCTTGTCATTAAATTTCTACCTTGTCACTATTTCCTTCAGCCCATTTTGAACACTTACTTAATATGTCTTAGTGTCCCCCTCTAGAGGTGCCTGAGACCATTATAGAAATTTATGTCACCTTTATTTGTGGTTGAACTAAAGAGAGGAAACAACCTTTAGAGTGGGAGTGGCTTATATATGACTTCCTCTGTGTCCGCATGGCTCAAACCATCATCTAGAGCCATGTGAGTGGTTGGCTTATTAATTCAGGGTTTTTAAATACATAAAATTTGAGGAGATGTAAACATTTTGATCAAGTTTTTTTCCTGTTTGAAAAAGTGGGTTCATCAAAGTTGAAATCATCACGAAAAAACTATAAAAAGGAACAAACTAAAAATCAATGAAACATGATACTTCTTGAGAAACCAAAATTTTCTTTTCTTTTCTTTTTTAGATGTTCACTACAATTTTCTCTTTTTTTTATTCCTCATCTTTTTTTAAAATTGTATTCATTGAAGACAGTGGTGGGAGGATATAAAAAGATGCGAGAACAGTGGAGCAAACTGTGGATTTTTTACACTGAAACTACAAAACAGTTGTGCATTTTTCCTCTCAGAAAATTGTGGCTTTTCCAATCTCCTCTAAAGAAAATGAAGAGATAACTAACACGCAGTCTAACACACAGGGATGGTACTTGGTCCTGCCATGAGGGTGGGGGATTGGACTCAATGACCTCTCAAGGTCCTTTCCAGTGCTATGAGATAAGTATATGTCCATATATTATATTACATTATTATATTAGAATCTATGCCATGAATGAAAATTGAATAAATAAGTCTGAAGAACATGAAACACTAAATCCCACAGGTGTGCAATCATAAACCAGGTCTACACTAGACCTCAAAGGTTGGCTTAAGGTACGCAACTCAAGCTACGTAGAAGAGAGAGTCCCACCCCGCACTAAACTTCTCCACTCTGGTTCCCGTGTATTAGGAAGACACAAACTAGCAAACCTTTTATGACTTTTTCATTTTCCGTTTTGCTGCCTGGGGCACTTCCCCAAAGACCTGCAAATAAGAAGTAAAAGCGTATAAATGGATTTGACAGTGTTGACATACACAAGTTCTCCTTCAGGTTGGTCGAGCTATTCTTTTGCACGTTAGTTTTGAACAGATAATTGGGGTTTTGACAAAATGAAAATTTCAAAGGACAATGTCTGTTGTCATTAAAAGTCTTGCTTATTAGAAAATATTTCTTAATTTTTATTGTATGTATGTATGTATTTATTTATTAGCTGAAAACTGATTTTTTTCATTGTTCAAAAGGTTTAGCCAGCTAGGTTTTGTTTTTCACTATTTTTGAAGTGAAAATTTTTATTTTGAGGGGGTTTTCTTTTCTTTTCTTTTCTTTTCTTTTCTTTTCTTTTCTTTTCTTTTCTTTTCAGAAAAGTCTGACTTCTCAACTGTGACTTAATTCAGGCTAGATCTACACTGGCAGAGAAAATTGATGGAAGATAGCTACGTGACTTGCATAGATGGAGTCAACATATCTTGCACTGATTTTCTTGGGCATCCCCACAGCGGGAGGTCAATGGAAGAAACTCTCCCATCGACTTCTCTTACTCCTTGCAACTGCAAGGAATTCTAGAGTTGATAGAGGTTCCCTCAGCATTCGATTAAGAGGGTCCTTACCAGACCCACAAAATCAAATGCTGGAAGATCGACTTCCAGAATGTCAATCCTCTGTTTAGTGTAGACATGGTCTCACTTTCCCATCATGTGTCATTTTCCCCCATCCACAGAATGAGCATCCTTCTCACTCAGAAAAGTGATCCAAGAGCGGTGGGTGAAAAGTGTTATTTACTCCTTGACGTAATACAAGAACCAAGGGTCTCTCAATGACATTAATAGGCAGCAGGTTTAAAACCAACCAAAGGAAGTACTTTCTCACCCAACATAGCACCAACTGATGGAATTTCGATGTTGAGGAATGTTGTGAAGGTCAAAAGTATAATAAGATTCAAAAAAAGCTGCAGATAAGTCCATGGATGGTAGGTCCATCAATGCCCATTAGCCATACTGTCCTAGCCTCATATTTCCAGAAGCCGGGTGTGGACAACAGGAAGATCAATCATCCAGTGATTTGTTCCCTCTGAAATGGTCACTATGAGAGGACTGGAGATGGGGCTAGATGGACCTTTGTTCTGATACGCTGAGGCTGTTTCTATGTTCTTGTTGAAATGAAATATTTTGAGGGATCTGAACTTTTTATTCTTATTTCTATTTCCACTTAGCAAAAAAATGGGAGCATTTCCTTTGAGAACTTGAACATTTTCATGACATGGGAAAAAAGTTTTTTGGGCCACTCCACTATCAAGAGAACAGTTTGGTTTGATCATATAGGGCATCTGGGTGTTGGAAGAGATGAGTGAAAGGAAGGAGGGATGAGGAGGGATATATAGATGGACTGAGAGCTGGTGGGTTCTGGACGTTGTCCATATTGGTCAATTATACATGAAAAATATGACCCCATTTCAGAATGTCAAGATTTTATGGTTTTCTTGAAATATTTTTTCAACTAACCATCTTGAGTTTTCTCCGTCTATTAAGAAGCAGGGACACAAGCACTCACCTTGAAGGTAACTCATGTTTTTCTCTTCTTTCTTCTTCTTTAGCTCCCCATCCTTGTATTCACTTCCAAAGAATTCTATGGGCACACTTGCTCCATAGCCAATAAAACTAGCTTCATGGGGGTTGAACTCAAACCAGGTTGCTGAAAAATACAAGAGAGAGTTTGGAAGCTAAGCCCAGCACTAGTTTTGAGGTGGCGGATGGATCACCAAGAGAAGAACATTAGGGAAAAGTGGTCATAGGTATCCCTAACTCAGTAGAATATGAGCATTTTTCAAACAATGTCTAATTAATAGAGACAAGTATCAGAGAGGTAGCCATGTTAGTGTGAATCTGCATAAACAACAAGAAGTCCTTTGGCACCTTATAGCATAAGTTTTCATGGGCAAAGACCCACTTTGTCAGATTTGCCCATGAAAGCTTGTGCTCCGATAAATCTGTTAGGGTATGCCTACATTACCCTCCTAGTTCGAACTAGGAGGGTAGTGTAGACATACCATTAGTCTGTAAGGTGCCACAGGACTTCTCATTGTTTATACATTAATAGAGTTTCTTCCCATCCGTGATGTCCCATCTTCAAAACCTCCCTTGATTCCTATTCTCCAGGAAACTACTGATCTTCACCTCTGAAGTTCTAACTATAATTCCCTCCCAATTGCTTCTGGGTTTGGAATTCCTGCCTTGCAAGCCACGCAAATACCAGAAGTTTGAGCCCAGGAGCTGAACCAAAAATGCTGTAGAAATAGCCAGTTTGATCGTAACCGAAAAAGAAACACCTCCCCAGTTTTTCACCAAATTACAAAGTGAATGAAAAAAACCATTTTGAGTTGACATAAAATGAAACTTGGTTGTCATGCACTTGGCTCATCTTCCCTTCCTTGATGCAGTTGTTTTCACTTTACTGACTACATTTGAAATTGAAAGACCATTTTAAATCAACAAGTAGAAACAAATTAGTTTATAATTTGTTTGCCCAAATAAAGCTTTGCACTGTATTTGAAGTGAACTCCACAACTACAGGCCTGAATATGCATTTTTAGTGAAAATCCATTTTATTAAAAGATTTATCTTAGCTGAACTTGATTATCCCCTTTTCCAACGTTATCCTCCCTATCCACACATCTTCCACCTTGCCTTTTCCTACTGTCAAATTCATGGCATCTTCTAAAGCATCACCACCCATGAAGAATTCTTTCCATGTTCCAGAAAGCCCATGTGATCTAGAAGTTCATCTACAGTTCCTTCCATTGTTTCCAACAGCATCTTAGGGCATGTCTACACTAGCGCTAAGATCGACCTGCAGGAGGTTGATCTTCTAGCATTTGATTTAGTGGGTCTAATGTAGACCTTCTAAATCAAACACTGAGGGCAGCCCCTGCCAGCATCTGGTACTCCTCGTTCTGCGAGGAGTAAGGGACGCCAACAAGAGCATATGCTTCCATCAGCCTCTTGTTGTGTGGACACTGCCATGGCTCACGTTAAGGTTAGCCAACTCCAGCTACACTTTTGTGTTGCGTACCTTAAACCAACCTGCCTAGTCAAGTTTGAATTACTCTGGGGAGTCGTTATTTTGAAATAGAGGCACCATAGGGTCCACACTCTTGCTATTTTGAAATAACTATTTCAGAATTAGTGTTATTTCTGATGAAAAGCAGGAGTACAGAGTTTTAATTAAGCAGACTGTTATTTCAGAATAACGGGCTTGGTAGTGTGGATTCTCTGCTTACAGATTCGACCTCAGGGAGGGTTATTTCGAAATTAAGTCCTAGTGTAGACCAGGGCCTACTGAGAATCAGGCTTGGATGAAGAAAATGAAACTAAAATATGGTTTTGATAAAATGTCTAGGGAGAAAGCAAAAGAATATTGCAGACAATGTCATGCAGCATTGAAAAATCCATTCACAATCTTGGCAAAGAAAAAAAAAGATTTACTTTCCCCCCCAATGTGCTCTAAACATAACCTCAACATCTCTGCCACCCTGAGGATCTGCATGTTGATGAGGCAACCCAGTGAAGTTTGTTTTTACCTGCAGAGTATTCAGTTACTTTGCTGAAACTTTGCTCATCCACCGCTGCATACATGGGGTAGGGGTTTCTTCCATTCTCAGCTGCACCCCGCTGCTCCGACAAGTGTCCCTTGTCCAGCTGTAAATACAGGATTCTATAGGTCCAGACAAACACACTCTGAATTCTAAAGTATGGTTTTCACATTGCCCAGGCCTCGACGGCTCAGCCTAAACCTGAGCATCCGGTGCTAGAACATTGCCACACCCTAAGAAGATTGCTAGACAGGTGTGGAATTTGCCTTCATTCACCCAAGTGATGAACTGACGTAAGTAACTCCACTGAATTCAATGGAGCCTCTCACATGTACATAGGTATCATAGAATCCCAGGGAGGGCAGAGACCTCAGGAGTCATCGAGTCCAGCCCCCTGCCCAAGACAGGACCAACCCCAACTCAATCATCCCAGCCAGGGCTTTGCCAAGCCCGGACTTTAATATATGGAGATAGACATATCTCAAGGAGCCTGAAGGGACATCAAGTCCAGGCCCCTGCCCTCACAGCAGGACCAAGTACCATCCCTGACAGATTTGACCCAAATCCCTAAATGCCTCCCTTGAGAGGTTGCTGGGTCCCAATTGACCCCAGGTCTCCCACCCTTCAGCACCTCCCACACACCACTGAAGATGCTGGGAAACGGGAGGGAGGACCTAACCAGTGGAGCTGATGGTGGGTGTTGGGCATCGACTGAGTTTTTCCATGAGTGTCCCAGCCTCGGAGTATTGACAGAGTCAGTGCCTAGGAGTGTGGACATGCCAACCCAGGCTGAGAAATTCCAGGCACATCCCCCTCGATCCACTGACCAGATCAACCAGGTCGTGTAGACATGACTTATGTCATTCTGAGCTGTTCAAGGAGGATGTTTTAAAGGTAGTGAGTTATCTAGTGGGATTTTCAAAAAAGAAATTTAGTCCCCTAAATCCCCATTGAAATCAATGGGTTCTAGGTGTCAAGGTGCTCTTCCCTCAAGCTCATTCCTTTAAAATATCTGGTCTTGGGATGCCACAAATCTCAGTTTCCCCTAAGCACATTTTCCCACCTCCCAGAGACATTGTGGGTATGTCTAGACTACAGGGTTTTGTCGATAGAAGTTTTGTCGACAGATACTGTCGACAAAGATTCTGTCGACAAAGAGCGTCTAGACTACATCCAGTTCTGTCGACAAAGCAAGCCGCTTTCTCGACATAACAGTGTGGACGCAAAGGACAATGTAGATGCAATAATGCCTTCTATCGACAGAACTCTGTCGATAAAAGGCGTTATTCCTCGTAGAATGAGGTTTACATATGTCGACAAAACTGCCGAGTTCTGTCGACGTTATGTCGACATAACTCAAAGGCAGTGTGGACGCAGGTATAGTTTTGTCGACAGAAGTCCACTTTTGTCGACAAAACCCTGTAGTCTAGACACACCCTGTGAGGCTAAACTCCCGGAAGGATCATGAGGGGCGCTCATCCTTTGGAGAGGGGGCCAGACGAGGATCCTTAGCGAGAGGCAAAAGGGAACGTTTTCCACCCACCTCGTGTATCATTCCATAGATCGCAGTGTAGGCCCAGAAATCGGTCAGTGAGTAGTTTTCATCCTTAGCTGCCTCAAGTAATATTTTTGTGGCTTTGGGGAGGTTCCAGGTCCATTTGTCAAGTCGAGTGCACATGCGTTCCACCAGGGCCTGCAATTTCTCTGTCCAGTCCTCATGTTTGTAGAGAGACGACATACACCTGCCAGAGCCACAAAACACACCATTGCAGGGGGGAATGGAACAGGGGCTTTTATCCCCAGCCCCTTCAGTCTCTGCACAGGTCTTTATTAGATTATTCTCACACAGTGGTGTACCTTTGCAATGCTTTTGTAACCCGGCAGGAACTCACGGCTAGCTGCTGTGGAAAACCACATTAGCAGTTGTACAATTTATGTCCCCCAGCCCCTTCCCAAACTAAGCTAATGGAGAATCTCCATTAGAAGTATGCAGGGTCCATGACACACAGTGTGAATGGCTCTGATTACAGCCGGGCTGTTTGTAACATCCATACATCTCCACAGCCACCCATGGCTCCACTACTGAAGTGTGGACTTCAGTGGGGCCATTTGTACAGAAAGTTTGGCAGTGTGGTTCAGTGGTTGCAGCACTAACCTAGGCATCAGAAAATGTTGGATCTGCTTACCCACAGATTTATCCCCAGTCACATTCTAAGCCTAGGCCCTTTCCCACCTCACAGGGACACAGTAGAAATAAACACAGCTGAGCTCAGTTACGGTGTTAATGGGGGAAAATCAGGCCCTACAAGCAATTGAAAGTTGCCCACTCATGTCAGTCTCCTGTTCAATTGCTCCAAGACCAGAGTTCCTAAACCCCTTAGGTTCTGTGTCAATTGCTCCTCACTGTGTGGCCCTGTTACACCAGCCAGATGTTCTGAAGGACAGGATAGAATCCTAGGGTGGACAGAGACCTCAGGAGTCATTGAGTCCAGCCCCTTGCCCAAAGCAGGACCAATCCCAACTCAATCATCCCAGCCAAGGCTTTGTCAATCCAGGACATAAAAACCTGTAGGGTTGGAGATTCCATCCCCTCCCTAGGGAATCCATCCCAGTGCTTCCCCGCCCTTCTAGGGAAATAGTTTTTTCCTAATATCCAATCTTTGTTTGATACCATTCTCCCTGGTAAGAAACCACTTGCCAACGGTTGTGAGGGAGAAATCTGAACTTCTGTTGTTTCAACATTATGGTCCCTATGGGTGTATCTAGACTACAGGGTTTTGTCGACTAAAGTGGACTTTTGTCGACAAAACTATACTTGTATCTACACTGCCGCTGAGGTCTGTCGACATAACATTAACAGAACTCAGCAGTTTTGTCGACGGCTGTAAACCTCATTCTACGAGGAATAACACCTTTTGTTGACAGAGTTCTGTCGATAGAAGGTATTATTGCATCTACGCTGTCCTTTGCGTCTACACTGTCATGTCAACAAAGCGGCTTGCTTTGTCGACAGAACTGGATGTAGTCTAGACGCTCTTTGTCAACAGAAGCTTTGTCAACAGTATCGACAGTATCTCACATCCCTTGACATGTGCTTACCAAGTTGACCCTGAGACCCCACACAGGTACATGATGGCATCCAGGAGGCCCTGAGTTTGTAGCTCCTGCAGGGTTCCATACAGGGCTATCATGGCCCGGAGGCCTCCCCCAGCCCCCAAGATGGCGATATTCGGCACGTCATCCTGAGGAAAGGAGAAAAAACCCGACACCATATAAACCGGGGTTGCTGAAGAAACACCATTCATCATCTAAGTTACTTCCACGGTTACTACAGAAAAAGACCCACATTCCCACTTAGGAGATGCCATCATGCGGTTAAGAACATAAGAATATAAGAACGGCCGTACTGGGTCAGACCAAAGGTCCTTCTAGCCCAGTATCCTGTCTGCCGACAGTGGCCAGCACCAGGTGCCCCAGAGAGGATGGACTGAAGACAATGATCAAGCAATTTGTCTCCTGCCATCCCTCTCCAGCCTCTGACAAACAGAGGCCAAGGACACCATTTTATCCCCTGGCTAATAGCCTTTTATGGACCTAACCTCCATGAAATTATCTAGCTTCTCTTTAAACTCCATTATAGTCCTAGCCTTCACAGCCTCCTCTGGCAAGGAGTTCCACAGGTTGACTACACGCTGTGTGAAGAAGAACTTTCTTTTATTAGTTTTAAACCTGCTACCCATTAAAACGAAACGAATATCTTGTAGGACCCAGATCTGCAAACATTTCCACATGTGAGTGTCTTTATTTGCCACTTTATTTGCACTCGTTCACATTAGACAAATCCCAGCAGTATCTTCAAACCAAGGAGAAGTCCTGTGGACTTTAGAAACGTGGGGCACATTAATACTTACTGGAAGACCAGCGTTCTGTAGGTTGATTTTCTGGCGTTAGATTTGGTTGAGGGTGACTCTGGTTGGCATCTGTACTCCTTGCTGTTGTGAGGTGTAAGGGAAGCTTATGGGAGCATTTGCTTCTCTAGGCCTCCCACTGTGTGGATGCTACCAAGGCTTGGCTTAAGGTAAACCGACTCCAGCGATGTATTTTACTTAGCTGGAGTTGCGTACTTTAGGCTGACCTTGGTCTAGAGTACACTAGTCCTAACAGATTTATTAGGGCATAAGCTTTTGTGGGTAGAACCCACTTTATCAGATGTATTGCAATGGAGTTTACAGAGGCAGGGGTGCATGTATAGAAGGACAACAAAAGAAAGCTAATCAAGTCAGGATGGCAGGGGAAATTAACTTTGTAATGCATGAACCAGCTATGATCCCTACTCAATCCCATGTTCTTAGCACTGAGTTTGCAAATGAATTCCAGTTCCGCTGTCTCCCTTTCTCAGGGCCGGACGGAGGCATGGGTGAGCCGGGCAGCTGCCCATAGTGCCGACCAATGAGGGGCTCCTGATGGCAACGGTAAGGGGTGCGCGGTCTCACTTACAGCTGCCATCAGGCGCCACACACCCGGCTCCCACAGCACCCTTCCCCCCAGGGCCCTGCATGGCCCAGCGCACGTGCCAGCAGCACATGCCGGGCCGGGCTAGGCAGCACATGCTCCGTGTGCCTCGGGGGCGGGCCCATGCATGCACCATGTGCCCGGGGGCGGCGCTGTGTGCCCAGGGCACCAAAAGGGCTTGGGCCAGGCCTGCCTTTTCTAAGTGGGTTTTGAAATTCTTATGTAGAAGGCTAGCTACTTTCAAGTTCCTCAGGGTATGTCTACACTACCCCGCTAGTTCGAACTAGCGGGGTAATGTAGGCATATCGCACTTGCAAATGAAGCCCGGGATTTGAATTTCCCAGGCTTCATTTGCATAAGCAGGGAGCCGCCATTTTTAAATCCCCGCTCGTTCGAACCCCGTGCCGCGCGGCTACACGCAGCACGAACTAGGT